GAGCACAGGATGCTCTCCACTGCACACCTGTAGAAGGAGGTGAGGACTGAGCTTCCCAGACCAGCTCGCCTCAGCCGTCTGAGGAAGTAGAGTCTCTGATGAGCTTTCTTGATCAGGCTGGTGGTGTTGTTGCTCCAGCTGAGGTTGTCATTCATGTGTACACCCAAGTACTTGTAGCTGGAGACCACTTCCACCGCAGATCCTCTTATGTTCAGGGGGGTGTAGGTGTTTTTGTTCCTTCTGAAGTCCACAATCATCTCCTTTGTCTTCTTCACATTGATGTGAAGGTTATTCTCTCTGCACCAGCTCTCCAGGTGTTCCACCTCTTGCCTGTAGCTGGACTCATCATTGTTTGTGATGCATCCCACCACCGCTGTATCATCTGCAAACTTTACAATGTGACAGCCTGGATGGGTAGCTGCACAATCATATGTGAGCAGAGTAAACAGGAGGGGGCTCAACACACATCCCTGAGGAGAGCCAGTGCTGAGGGTTATGGTGGAGGAGGAGAGGTTGTGGATCCTCACTAACTGTGGTCTGTTTGTTAAGAAGTCTAGTACCCAGTTGCAGATGGAGGGGCTTAGTCCTAGTGTGGATAGTTTGTCTATCAGGGTTTGGGGGATCATGGAGTTGAAGGCGGATGTGAAGTCCACAAAGAGCATACGGACGTAAGAGTTTTTCTGCTCCAGGTGGTTGAGTGCAGTGTGGACCACAGAGGAGATTGCATCCTCTGTTGATCGGTTCTCACGGTATGCGTGTGTGTGTGTGTGTGTGTGTGTGTGTGTGTGTGTGTGTGTGCGTGTCACTCAGTGTCCCTCCACGGGTCTCTGTATCTGCTGAAGCTGATGAGCTGACAGTGAAACTCAGTGAGCGCCCTGGGCATGGGAGCCACTTCCTCCCACTGACTCCTCCCACTGTAGTACACCTACACAGGTAACAGAAAAACACACAACACCAGACTGATTAAAGTTTCTTGGATGGGGAATGACAAAAAAAAAATCCTCTTTCAATAAAAACGTCTGTAGCAGTTGTCAGTTGTAACACATCTGTCACTGTTTGTAGGTTTAGATTTAGATTTTGGATTTGTTTTTTAACTATTGTTGTGTTTGTTCTGTTTTGGCAACATCACATATTTTGCTATTTTTAAAGAATCACTTCCTTTGTCGGTCCTGACTGCCTGTCTTTTTGTGACGTTGTCTCTGGGTTTGTAATTCTCATATCTATGTCATCCCTCTGTGAATTAATAGACTCAGTGTTTGTCAGAGCCTCATATTGTCACAGTCTATTCAGTGTTGCGTTGTTGTAGATTTCTGAGTCCTGTTCGTTGTGAAAATAAAACATCATTTTCTACTGTATACACAGGAAACACCAACCAGACAAAGTGAAGGCACCTGTGAATAATCACATATGCCAGAAAAGGAGAAAGAGGATGCAAGACATGAACACGACACAAGATGGGGCTAGATACAAGAGAAACCCAAATCATATAAAGAGAAACAGAGGATCGGGGGAACACAGACATAAACACAACACCAGGGACAAAACCACAACTCCTACATTTATTATATCATGACAACACACTATTGCTTTTTTCTTTGTATCATTATGATTAAAACTGACTACCATTTAGAGAGAATATATGCACTACCCTAGGCGGGTAAACACTTTAAGTGTGGTACTGTAGGCCTTTTTGTCTCTGGTACGAGTAAAGCTGTCATTTCTAACCCGGGCCCGAAGCCCGGCCCGACCTGACTTTGGGCTGGGCTATAATAATTTGCTGGATGGGCAGGCCGGGACGGTGTTGGGCTTTTGATTGCGTCAGCGGATGCACGCAGCTGACGATCCAATTATATGGCAACATGGCTTGCCATATAATCACCAACTGCACGCGGCTATTTCACCGCGCGCTGACTGGCCTTGGAAGAGGTAAAAAAAAAAGTTCAGTTAAGCTTCAGCTGAGACTGTACTGCCAGGCAGCGATACATCTGCCCAAATGGACGTTCATTCAGCCGCTACACTCAGCGGACACTTGATGAACAGTTGAGATCATAAAATATCCTCGCCGACGTCAAAGCGTGGTCCGTGTCTGAATAATGCAGAATGCAGGCAGAAGCAGGGATTTAATGCACTTTGACGGTCATGAAAGGACAAACACCCCCTAAGCGCCGATCTTCTGCCCCCTTAGCCATGCACGTCCACCGACCGTTAATCACCATATAAGCAGTCAAAGCTTAATTAAAAATGTTGGTGGGGGTGTTTCAGGTTCGGACGTGTAATTACTGTTAATTCATCGGGTCAAGTCGGGTCAGGTACGAAAATGATGATTACAAGCTGGGTCGGATTTTTTGGGCCCAAATGCAACTCTAGGTACAAGTTTGTAGTTTGTAAGAGGGAAACCTTTAATAACTTTAAATACCTGCTACAGTGCATGATGGTGACCGATGATCTTTTCCACAGACCACATAATGTGTCTATTTTTCCTGCTACTGTTTTGTTACTTCTGGTTTCATAAACTCCCTGGCTATCAACGGTTGCCGTTTATTACAACCACTTTCTTTACCAAGTTGCAAACTGACATTTAGGTATAAAGGTCACAGCAATCGTGGCTTCTAAGCACAGTCTGGTTATAATAAACCACTGACTTACATTTTTTAAAGCCCAATAACAAACTCTTTGTACTTAAAAGCCATGAATACAAAGGGAGACTGCAAGTTACACTGGTCTCAATAAATGCTCAGTGGAAATAAAGAAATACTGCACAGAACAGAAAATAAAATGTTTCCTTGATCACGTTTCCTGGCTGAGAAACAAACCAGTTTCAGTTTTCAAAATCACGGGCCACCTCTGAGCATCTGATCAGTGCTGTGCAAACATGTAGATTTTTATTTACCTATCAGAAGAGATTTATGTTCATTTATAATTTAACCTTTATTAACTCTCGATGAGATTACACGAGCTCTCTCTCAAGGGAGCCCAGGCCAAAAAGGCAACAGCACCAGTTCCAGAACCATACAAAGCACTGAAGACAATGAGAAACATGGAAGCACATAATGTAACTCAACATAAATCTGTGTAAAAGAAACACACGAGCAGCAAACTGGGCTAAGAAGGGAAGCAATTACAAACTCCAATCAAATCCTCTTCCAAGACCTTCACCTTCTGTTTAAAAGAACCAACTGGGATCAACTCTTGAAGCTTTAATTTACGTTGAAAGTGACAGAAAACATAAAATCATTTTTTATAAATTATTATTAATATTTTTATTAAATTTTTTTTTTACCAAGTTCTGTATGGACCTTGGGAACAATAAATAAAACTGTATTATTTGAACACAGTTGATTGTGCATAAAAGTTCATGCTCAGTAATCCAAATAGAAAATCCAACAAAGTTCAGTAAGGTTATCAGACGGTTTCTTTTGTTGTCGAGACATTTCGTCCATCCAAAGGACTTCATCAGTCCGAGGAGCCACAAACAAATGGAGTCCCACAAACAACACTTCCACGTAGTGGACCAACCAGTTTGCTGGTGATTAGATAGTTTCTGGGGCCCTCCCTCCGTTGACTCCTCTGAGGCAGCCATAGCCAAAGAAGTCATTTGGATGAAAGGCAAAACGTCTCAACAAAAAAGAAATTGTCCAGATGACCTGACTGAACTTTGTCGGATTTTTAATCTGGATTATTGAGCATGAACTTTGATGTTTTGAACCACTTTGGCTATGGCTGCCTCAGAGGAGTCGACAGGGGAGAGGGCGGGCCTCAGAAACCATCTTACCACTGCAAACTGGTTGGTCCACTATGGGAGTGTGCTGCTTGTGGGACTGAGTTTGTTGTGGCTCCTTAGATTGATGAAGTCCTTTGGCTGAAGGGAAAAACGTCTCAACAAAAAAAGAAACCATCCCGATGACCTGACTGAACTTTGTTGGACATTTGATATTGGCTAGTTTTCAATGAAATATCCCACAAAGACAGGACGGAAGCAACCCAAGAACTTTATACATCCAGACTTTATAAATAAAAATGCACCGATGCGTCAGATTGTGTTCTAAGTCATGACGATGGTCCCAGGTTGTCTTTCAGTTTTGTTCAAACCTGCAAAAATCTTTTGGAATTAAAACATTTTTCAGTTCCACTCTGTTCATCAACTGTTAATTCAGTGACTTAAAAGTAAAACTGTTACAAATTCTAGCTTGCAAAGCAAATAAAGACCAAAAAGAAAAAAAAAAAACGCCCATAAAATTACCTGAACTTCATCAGTGATCTCGTCGGGGGAGTAGTCTCCACCCAGAATGTAGATTCTGTCGCTCACACCAACAGCTCCAGCGTTGAAGCCTGCACATTCGAATGACCCCTCGCCCTTCCACACACCCGTCTCTGGGCAAAAACTGTAAACCTGTATGACAAAATAACATTTATAAATGACCCAATGCAATGCTTTTTCACCATCTGTCCGATGGCTCACCTTATACGTGGACAGGTCACAGAGGTGCAGAGTGTTATTGATCGACACCGCCTTGACCAGTGTAGCGTGGAAGAACTGTCCAAACTCTGCCACCAGGCGGCTCCACTGGTTCTGCTGGGCGTTGTAGCAGAAGAAGCAGTCGAGCGAGGGGTTAAAGGAGTCTGTGGTCTCCACCTCAGACCCCAAGGTGTAAATAATGTTCCCACAAGCACTGGCCTCTGGGTAGAAGATGGCAGTGGGCAATGGGCTGACAGAGCACCACGTTTGGCTCAGAGGGTTGTAATACTCCACCTGACATACAACAGAGAGAAGAATGTGTCCTAAATGTAAACATAAATACTTTTTTTTTTTAACTTTTCAGAAACAAGTAATCTACAGGAAGTGATTTAAGAAAATGCCACCTCCAGCAGACTTGGGGCCTCCTCTCTGGAGCCCTTGGTCCGTCCCCCAATGACATAGACTCGGTCCAGGCAGGTGACAGCCGTGTGCATGGTTCTGGGCTTCAGCATGGCCGGTGCAGGAGTACAGGTTAAAGTTGCAGGACAAAAACACCAAACCTCATCTGTGGCATTGTGGTGCTGTTCTGCAACATGGAGGCGAATTGCCCGGCAACAGTTCCCCCGGCAACCACCTGTGACAAACATCTTAGATACACGGGAGTGCAGAAATGTTTAATAAATACTGTGCAGATTTAGTCTTCAGCATCAGAAAAACATGGAATTTGTGCCTCTTCTCATTATTTTTAACTTAAAAAGAGAATATTTTAGATCAAAACAGGAACAAAACAACCTGGTTGTTTACTTTAGATCAATAAATTGAATAACACTTAATTTTTAAATGTCACAAACCTAAACAATAAGAAATGTTTCTGCAAGTTTCTGTCCCATCCCAAATTGTACCTTCTCAGCATAGCTCGTAAGATATGACCCTGGTGGATCGGGCATCGGAGGCGTCCTTTCTCCCCTCTCTGTCTGCAGCTCTTTCCACTGGTCTGTTTCCAGACAGTAGCAGAAGGTGTGGACGATCCTGCCATTCTCCTCCGTCTTGTGGATGTAGATGTAGCTCTGAGTGGTGGCGGGCCTGGCATTGGTGAGCAGGCCATCAAACTGAGTCTGTCTGCTCTGGGCCTCTGACAGCAGAGCGAGACAAGACTCGTCACTGCTGAGGAGAGAGTCTGCATCTGGCAGAGTCTGTGATCAAATACAAGAAGTGACGCAGGAAATAGATGATGAAACCACAAAATCCAAACACAGAGGTCACAGAGGTCACAGAGGACACAAAGGTCTTGGTTACACTGTGCTGCTCTTCTGTCTTCAAAAGGTTCTTAACCAAAAGAGTGAGTGAGGGCAGCTTTAAACTTTGTGTTTTTCTTTATATTTTTGAATAAACTGAGGTTTTGGGTTTTGAACCTGAGCATCTTATAAATTAATTTTTCAGTCTTTCTCCCTCCTTAGATGACATTAATCTGTCCTCCAGCTCTAATATTAAAAATCTTGGTGTTATTTTTGATCAGGACATGTCGTTTATCCCCCACATTAAAAACATTACTAGAACCGCCTTCTTCCACCTGCGTAATATCACTAAAATTAGAAACATCTTATCTAAAAATGATGCAGAAAAACTGGTCCATGCATTTGTCACGTCTAGACTGGACTGTTGCAATGGTTTATTATCTGGGTGTCCAAATACGTCTTAAAAGTCTTCAGTTAATCCAAAATGCTGCTGCCAGAGTCTTAACTGGAGTTACTGGGAGAGCTCATATCTCTCCAGTTTTAGCTTGTCTCCATTGGCTCCCTGTCAAATCCAGAATACAATTCAAAATCTTACTTCTAACCTACAAAGCTCTCAACAACCTAGCTCCATATTAGAAATCTTATTGTTCCATACTTTCCTTATATAGCACTTCTCTCTCAGACTGCAGGTTTACTTGTGGTTCCTAGAGTTTCCAAGAGCAGAGTAGGAGGAAGATCTTTCAGTTATCAGGCTCCTCTCTTGTGGAACCAACTTCCAGTTTCTGTCCGTGAGGCTGACACATTGTCCAGTATGAAGACTGGGATTAAGAGTTTCCTTGTTGATAAATCCTATAGTTAGTGTTGGCTTGGGTTTCCTGACCTGTCCTTTATCTTCTGCTGCTTTAGGATCAGACTACTAAAGGACAAATTGACCTCATTTCATCAAATGAATAGATATAAATGAATACAAATGAAAGGTTTGTATTTGTAATTATTTCTATCCTAACGTGTATTTGTTGTTGTTGTGGTTGTTGTTTTTTCTTCCTAGAGAATAACCTGCTTGCCTCCATTCTCGACCTGTCATTCTGTGTCTGTTTTTCCTTCCTGTCCTCTCAAACCCAGCCAGTCAAAGCAGATGGACGCTTCTTCTTGCTGCTAAAAGGGAGTTTTTTCTTTCCACTGTTGCCTTGTGCTTGCTCACCATGGGAGACTGTGACGAAGTGAAGACTCAACACAATCTGCTGGCTCCCCTACCTTAGATAAATAATGTTACTAATTGAATTTTTATTTATATGAATGTTTCTGTTCATTGCCCTGAGACGATTTCTGTTGTGACGTGGCGCTATATAAATAAACTGAATTAAATTGAATAAATAAGCATTAAAATCATAAAATCTTTCCGAACATCTTTTTCTAGTAAAATGCTGTATATGATGTTTAAAAAATGTGGTAAGAACTTAAAACTAATTTCACTTGTTTCTTTATTTTTTTTTAAATTCATCTGTAGTTTTCCAGTTGCAAAGTTATATTACAATTTAATAAAAATGTTTAGTTTTTTCTCCAATACCAATTCTCTGAACTTTGTGTTTTCAAATAGGTTCAGAAAAAACACAACAGTAAAGTATTTTTTAAATATTCAGTCAATCTCGTGGAGCTGGTTTCTACCTTTAGTGCAGCTGCAGGCAGGTGGTGCAGTCGGGTCAGAGACATCAGTCCAGGTAGCAGCTTCTGTCTTGCAGACAGATTGTGGCGAATCCACCTAAGAAGTGACAATAAAAGTTCCTCCTCACTGGGCACATTCAGAGCATCCGACTTTAGGCAGGTCTCCAAAACATTTACCTGAAAGGAGCAAAGGAAAAGGAAACGTTTGAGTAAGGAAAAGTAATTCCAAATGAAAAAATCCTTTTGTTTGAGCTCCAGGAACAATTTATGAAGAATACAATATTTATGATGAACATTTTCCAAATATTATACAGTATGTCTACCAACATTATGCATCATAATCAATCATTTTGTATGTTTGTCATATCACTATAATTAAACTAAATATAGAGTAGTTTATGTAGATTAAATGAAGACTGCAGACACAACTTGCAGTTAGGATGAGGGGCGACAAAAGAAACTTTAAACCAACTATATCACCTGCATATCCAAGAACTCCTGGGTTTTAGAAAGGTCATAAAAGTTCTGAACCACAAACTTGTTGGTACTATGGAGGAGGGAAGCAGAGCCATACGCCTCTCCCAGGGACAGCAGGGAAAGACAGTTAGAAAGATCCATACTTCCTACCAGGAAGTCACTGCATGCTCTAGACAGGACAGGAACCTGCAGGAAAAAGTAGTAGAAGAAACACTCAGTTTAGAGTTTAAAGTCACTTATTCAAAAGAGGGATGAGCTAAGATGCTGCAAAAATAACAAGGGGAATATAAATAAAAACATGGGCCTAGTTGTTCAAGATGCTTGAAGACGCGTGTGTGTGGACGTGTTTTGGTGTGAGTCACACAATGTGCTACTGCTAACTTTACTAGTGGCGTATGGAGCACTTAAAGTCAAAACTGCTGAGTTAACATCTAATTCAAACAAGAAATATATAATGAAACTTGGTCATTAACTTGGTCAAATATATGATGTGTTCAAAAAGAGGACGAGCCATGCTGTGACTGTGACTCTACCTGCAGAAAGGAGGAAAGCTGGAACAGCACATCCACGTTCCCATCCGTGATGAGAGCCTCTCCAGAATAGGCAAAGTCCAGGAAAGAACTGACGGCCACTGGACACTGTTCACCCAGAGTTACTGATCCATCGTCACGCTCTCGCATATCCACCTCGAACATGGCCCTAAACAGAGCAGTCAAACATGATAGATACAGTAGATGGATGGATGGATGGATGGATGGATGGATAGACAGATAGACAGATAGACAGATAGATAGATAGACAGACAGATAGATAGATAGATAGATAGATAGATAGATAGATAGATAGATAGA